AGCCAAGCAGTTCGAATAAACTGTAAAATGTCAACAATTAGAAAAGTAGTATGTTCGGCCAGGTCGAACTTGAATACCCTCCACTATTTGGAACGAATTTGAAATTTTTCAAACAAAAAAAAAAAAAAAATCATTAAAATACCAAATATAGGGGGTTACCGTAATATGGGGGCTATACCAAAACGTGGACCTATATAGTCCATTTTCTATAATCTGTTAAGATCTTAAAAATACCGAATGTAGCCGTTATATTAGAGTCTTAGAGTCTTATATTAGAGCAATGCAAAGGCAATTTTAGTCATAAACCATCACAATATTCAAATGCGAAACTAGAAAAAACCCGTAAAGAAAGTTTTAAAGTTGGGCGGGGCCGACTCTATGATACCCTACACCACTTTGCTAATTAAGTAGAGCTCCACATAACAATGGGAGAATTCAATCATACACGCTATGATAATAACTATAATTTAAAGTTCAAAGGACTAAATATGCCGAAGTATTTGTATCTTTTAAATTCGGAATTGCATTGCCCATTTGGTGCACAATTAATTTGAAATCGGATAAAGGTATATATGGGAGCTAAATCCAAATCTGAACCGATATCGATAAAATTTAGCAAATGTATTTCTGAGCTGTATTTGATATATTTCCCCAAATATTGTTGTTGCAGAGTGCATATTACGGTGGCGGTGGACAAAAATAACAAATCGGATGAACAATATATATGGGAGCTATAGCTTTATCTGAACCGATTTCGATAAAATTTGGCATACTTATTTCCAGGTCTAATTTGGTTGTATGTGCAAAATTCCATACTATTCGGGCTGATATTACACGTTTGGTGCACAATAAAAGGCAAATCGAACGAAGATATATATGGGAGCTATATCTAAATTTTGACCGATTATCTCCAATTTCAATAGGGTTCGTCCTTGGGCCAAACAAATGATTTGTGCAAAATTTCATCTGGTTCGGGCAATAAATGCGACCTGTACTTTGTTTACAAAAATACATGGACAGACGGACGGACGGACATGCATAAATCGACTCAGAATGTGATTCTATGCAGATCATCAAAAGGAACTATCGGTCTATCTCGTTTCCTTTTGCCTGTTACAAACAAATGCACAAAGACATAATACCCTGACCACCTTGTGGTGTAGGGTATACAAATCGGTGAACAATGTAACTAAAATCATCAAAATACCGAATATAAAGTGGTACCATTATATTGGAGCTGTACCAAAACGTGGACCTGCACAGACAATTTTCTGTCTTAGGTTGTAGCATTTGTTACGAACTTCAAATATCAGATTTGAAACCATTCCTGTGAATAATGTCGCTAAAATCATTAAAATACCGAATATGGGGGATATACGAAGACGTGGACCTGCACAGACAATTTTCTCTTATAGGATGCAGTATCCATTTTTAACTTCAAATGTCAAATTTGAAACAATTCCGGTGCAGAATGTAGTCAAAATCATCAAAATACCGAATATAGGGACGTACCCATTTACAATACCAAAAGTCCTGCAGACATGATATACATTTGAGTACAATTTTATCAACCTACTTCATGTCGTTCGGAAGCTAGAGTGATTTCCACAGATGGACGGATATAGTTAAATCGACATATAATTTTATGCTGATCAAGAATATACCGGGCGAGATGAAAAAAACTGCAACCAATTTCAGACTGCTGCCACTCGTCCGTAACAGCTCATTATATTGTTAAGCGTACAAAAGCATTTTGGTGAGAATTTTCAAGAAAAAAGTTATTCGTGATGGCATTCAAGAGTGATAGTGTGATTTCTTTATATTTGGCTGGAAAACCACAAGTGGCTATCGTTAGACCCCTTCAGCATTTAAATGTGAATAAATCTTTTGTGACTCGTACCATCGCTCGTTACCGTGATTACCATTTGGCAAATATTGAAAAATGAGCTCGGGGTAAAGCCATTGAAATTTCAAAAAGTGCACCGCAACAGAAAGAAAATAGACTCAAAAGAGCTAAAGAGTTGAATCGCTTGGTCGAAGGTGTTTTCTAGCAGTTTACAAATAAAATGATCGTGTTTACTTGCCAAAGAGGTCAGCTGCACCTTTGGTTGGCCATCAGACCTTAAGCACCGGCCATGGTGATGGTGTGGACAGCCATAATAGCCGATGGTCGCTCTCCGCTCGCATTAATCCACCGTGGCATCAGAATAAATGCCAAATATTATCGCGAAAATATTCTGGAGGATGTATTAAAGCCTTGGGGACGCAAACATTTTGGCCGCAGATCTTGGACATTCCAACAGGACTCACCACCATCGCACTCAGCACACGCACAAAGGTCACCAAACTCTCCGGATACCAATCCGTTGGAATATTGTGTCTGGAGTATTTTGTAAAGCAAGGTTGACACTAAAAAATACCAAAGTGTCGATCACCTCAAGCAAGCGCTTCGCCGGGAATGCCATAACAGAAAATATTGCAGAGCAACATTCGGGCAGGGTGTGACGGTTTCATTGTCCGTTTGAAGGTCATAATTCGTGACAAAGGTGACCAATTCGAACAAATCTAAACTTATTCTAAAATTTGATGCTATTTCCGACATTTTCTGCTTTCATTCAAAAAAAATCTATATCGGCGTCCATAGCATATGCGTGATGGTGTAATTGTACGTAATAGGTAGCACCAATTACAGTATGTACGCTACACTTATCAATGATCACGTTACAATACATGGGAATTTCTTCCAGTTCCTTCTCTATATATATCTTCCATAATTCCAATATAAACTCTTCCCCACTTGTTGTCTAACCTTTATGTCTGTGATTTTCTCTGTCATAAAATATGTGTGTCGTTTTTAATAATATGATATACGAATTTAAATTTATGACCAGTTTTGAAAACGCACACATTTCTTTCGAATAGGAAGCGAACAAGTTGCCTTTTGGTGGTCCTGGTGGAAATGAGATGCATTTGTTGGAATAAAACAGCTAATTTCCGAAAATATCTGGAAATCGTTTTGTCATTTAAAAATATATTAAATCAGCATCAAAAGTCAAAATAAAATATTCAAGACCCTGGAGACACAACGTCAACCCTGGAGACCTATTCGTCAATTCCCATTGTGTGCAATCAAATTTCTTGAAGCAACTTTGTTACAAAAACGCATTGGCCCTAACTCTCAATTAGCCTCACATTTAACCCCTCTGCCAGTAACAGCGGTAATTTGGCATGCATCAATCCATCGAGAAACGGACTACTACGTTGGCTCCACAACCATAGCTCTGGCATGGAATCTGATACGCCGAGTGTCTGCACAATGCGTCATGTTGCAATTGAGGGCTTCTCTGTTTTTGTGGGTTTCCTCTGGCGGAAACACTCTCATGTTGGGAGGTTTCTTTGACTAGAGCATTTGCGCCTTTTTTCCAGCTTAACATTTTTGCACTTTTGCGGTTTTCCGCTGGTATACTCGAGCCACACTGGCACATGGAGAGTTCGTTTGTCGCATGTGTGTGCGTGCGAGTCTGTTTGTTTGTTAAAGCATTGCGTTTATGATGAATGCACTACGACGTTGTTTACAAATTTCCACTCTAAAAGAATCTGCCGGCAGATGTGGCTTCTGTCGTCGAATATGTGGTTGGTTTGAACTTTAGTTTTGTTATTTTCTTTCCACCTCATCCAGGTGCAAAGGAGAACACACTTGAGACCAACAAGTCGCTCTTCGCGTATGCTCTTTCTTGTTTATATTTCTATTCTTCTTTTTTATACCCTCCACCGTAGTATGGAGGGTATATTAAGTTTGTCATTCGTTTTGTAACATCTCCACCTATACATTTTAGACCCTACAAAGTACATGGTGAGATGAAAAAACTGCAACCAACTTCAGACGGCTGTCATTTCTAAGCCACTCGTCCGACAGCTGTTAAAATTATTCCAGTGATAGCTCATTATATGGTTTACAAGAGTAAAATAGGATTTTGGTGAGAATTTTCCAGAAAAAAAGTTATTCGATATGGAATTCAAGCGTGATAGTGTGAATTCTTTATATTTGGCTGGAAAACCATAAGTGACTATCGTTAGAGCACTTCAGCATTTAAATGTGAATAAATCTTTTGTGTTTCGTACCATCGCTTATGATACTGGCTTGGTCGAAACCCCCGTGGCAGTGGCAATATCGCAATATTCCATTCGGCAAATATTTAAAAATGAGCTGGAGGTAAAGCCATTAAAATTCTAAAAAGTGCAAGAACTTTCACCGCAACAGAAAGAAAATAGACTCAAAGAAGCTAAAGAGTTGCTTCTCTTGGCCGAGAGTGGTGAACTGCCGAATTTGGTTTTCTGGAGTAGTCCGATATTGTCCATTTGCGCACCTGACCTATTACCGATGCAAATATTAGGATCTGCAAAGTTGGAACAATAGCGGACTAACCGTTCTGTTTGTGGGGGAGGTACCAGAAGGAGTGAACCGAAATTGCCCATCACCGAACTCGGTCTAAATTTGATAAAAATAATAACGATATACCAAGTTTGGACCGAATCGGATAATTGTTGAGTTATGCCAATATTTTAGTAAAGGAGCTTGATATTCTTGATGGCCATAGAATTCCGAAATCGATTTAATGATGTCCGCCTGTCTGAGGAAATGAACGATGAAAACTTGCTCTGTATTCCTTCGGTTCATGTGGGAGATATTGGAGCAGCTGGAGCCCTTCCCATCCAATTTTACACACGTTAATGGAACAATTGTTGTAGGGTACCAAACCTAAGTTATTCTAAATTAGTTAGTGTCGAAACAAACATTAAACAACAACATATCACATGCAAATACAAATAAGTTAGAGACAATAAAACTCGAACAATGTTATCTTTGAGATCCCCAGATATACACAACGTTTCGTCACAACAGATGGCAATGGAAGACAAAAAAAAAAAAAAAAAAAAACGCCTCAAATCAGCTTTGTGGCATTTAAGTTACTGCACAGAAAATGTTTAACAGTTTCTCGCCAGCCTTTAAACCGACAAGTTCGTTAGACGCATTCGGTGACCGGCTAGCTAAGTTTACGGTGTTCAAGTTTTAAGCACTAAATAACAACAGCAATGAGTAATGAGGAAAGTTTAATAGAAATGGAAGATCCTCGACAGATTGGCGTTGCTGCTGCCGGCACCGGTGGTGGCGCCCAACTTGAGTTGAGTGTGATTAACGGCAACGGCAGCGGTGGTTCTAGTGTCGAGTCTAAACGTAACAGTTCGGAACGTAGTCTACCCTTACGTAGCTACAGTAAATGGTCACCCTCTGAACAAGGGGCGACATTGGTTTGGCGCGATTTGTGTGTTTATACAGCCGCACTATGGGTAAAAAGCATGATTTTTTGGCATAAAGTCATTTTTTTTTTGGTTTCATATTTTGAAATTTAACTGATTTCCTAAATGTAGATACCCATATTAGAAAAAAAAATGTTTAATATCAATACGGGTGGCAACCCTTTTTTGCTGGCGAGCTTTTAAAGTCAGCTGTTTGAAAGTCACTTTGTGTTGGTACAACTGGCGGTAAAGATCAGCTAAGTTCAAGTGCTTCTGATTTGACAAAATTGAAAAAAAATAAAATGTGTAATTATGGAAAACGTTAGTGCAGGTATGTAAAATTGAGACGAGGTGCCCTTTTTGTCATAATTGTCTGTTGTTGTAATACTGTGAATTGTTTCGTTTATGTATAGCTTTATATAAAATCTATAAATTGTAGTTGTGTTCCGTGGAGTGTAACTTGTGAATGGCAAAGCATTGCAAAAAGGTATAAATGCCAAGTTATTAACAAAAGTGTGTTAATTAATGAGTAACTAGCCTTTTTTGTTCTATTTTGTGCCAACACGTGTTTTGCAGATAAACATGTGTTTGTCCATGCAGCGCTTATTGAAATTTGGAGAAGCAACAATCGCTCAGAAGATGCACTTGTTAAATATGTGTTACAGAATATCAATAATATCAGTTTAAATGAAGACCAAATGCGTTTGATATCAAAACAAGTGAAAGATTTTGTTAATTATATAAAAAAGCATTTGCCAAAGTGCATCCGTAAACTAGAGCGATTTAAAACTAAACATTCAAAATGGCTTAGCAAAAGTATAATTATTGTAATGAATGAGCAGTATGTTTCTCCAAATCATCATAGCCGATCGGCCAAATCGGCTATATAGCAGCTATATGAAATAGTTCCCCAAATCATATGAAAATTCGTAGGTCATCTTGGGGGCATAAAAAATGAATACAAACCAAATTTCACTTCAATAGCTTCATAAACAAAAAAGTTGGGTCAAATCGGCTATATAGCAGCTATATGAAATAGTGCCCCAAATCATATGAAAATTCGTAAGTCATCTTTGGGGTATAAAAAATTAATACAAACCAAATTTCACTTCAATAGCTTCATAAACAAAAAAGTTGGGTCAAATCGGCCAGATCGGCTATATAGCAGCTATATGAAATAGTGGCCCAAATCATATGAAAATTGGTAGGTCATCTTGGAAACATAAAAAATGCATACAAACCAAATTTCAATTCAATAGCTTTGAAATTAGAGTTTATGCCAAAATAAACGTAAAAAAACCCATAGTGAGCCGGTGAAAATGGCTCCTCGGCCAGTTTGTATAACATGAAACGTATTATAAATAATTCCACAGGTGCTGTACAGCCAGGCAACTTGATGGCGTTGATGGGCTCAAGGTGTGTCTCCGTGTGTGTGTGTGTGTGTATTTGTGTGCATTTAATTACTTTTTTTTGCAATGAAGCTGCAAAAATGCTGAAGCTCTAATGAAAATTATTTGTGGTGAAATGAAAAGAAAAATGCATTAATGAGTCATAGTTGTGAAGGAAACGTTATTATTGGTCCAAATTAGACAATGGGAAAGTTCTATGAAGTGCATTACTTTGATTGTGTCCACAGAGAATGAACCTAAGCAGGATTATTTTAAAACTAATTTATGAACAAAGGATTTCAAATAAGTAAGCCAAGCCTGAAATCGAAGAGGACATATTTTACACAACCTACAACATTAACTAGACGAGAAATTTAATATTTCGTTGAAAGGACGGGGAAAAATATTTGTTAAAATTATTTTCCAGGAAATTTGAAAATGTTGTTAGTAGTCTATATACACCACCTGATAAGAGTCTGTTTACTTTCTCTCGCCGTAAAAAAATGTGCAATTAGTTAAAATATAACTCGACTAATAAAAATGTAAAATAAATGTGTTATAAAAATCATGGCAGTTTTGTGATGAATTTGAATTTCTCATTCTGACATTAAATCGTATTAAGAAAGAATACAAAAGTTCTGAGATGCCACGCCTTTTGGCATTTATTTACATTTCTATTTTTATACCCTATTCTATTTTTATAGCCTCAGCCATAAGGCTACAGAGGGTATATATCATTTTATACGGCCAAAACTTGTCTCAAAATCCGTTTCAGGACATTTGACATCTAGGTATAATTCTCAAAGGGACTATCCGATTTGATCTAATCTTGGTACATCGTAATATTATTACCAAAATAAGATCGAGTTTGAAGATGGGCAAAATCGGTCTACTCCTTCTGACCCACAAAAGGTCAACATTTTCAAAGAAATTATTTAACTCCATAGTAAACTTAGCAAATCCCAATATTTCTACTAGCGCTAGTCAGGTGTCAAAATGGATAACATCGGCCAACTTCATCAAGTAACTCCCCCACAACGGGTTAAAATTTTGACCCTCATTAAATGCGAAATAAGCATCGGATACTCTAAATTTTATTTTACTAAATTTCACAGATCTCAAGATTTATAATAACACTAGATCTGATGTGAATATATGCTATACAGGTCCATTTCTTCTGGTACCTTTCCCACAAAGGGTCAAAATTTTTCATTAACAAACGCACATAAAATACGAAATAAACATCCAATTCCTATGAAATTAATGAAGATTGGATGTATCGGCCGACACCTTTTGGTACCTTCCCCATTATTAAGTGTACAATTTTTGAAGAATTATATTATTTTATAAATCAGCACATCCTATTATTTTTATTAACCCAAGATCCGGTACAGCAAGAGGCCGATATATATCATATTTGCTATAGATATCGCCCTATCCCTTGTTGTACCTCCCCCACAAAGAATCTGAATTGTAAATGCTTATATCTCTCACAACATGCGAAAAACAACAGGGATTCTATTCAAACTTCGTATATCTAAATATTTTTCTCAACCAGAGATCTGATGGAAATGGGGAATTTATCGGTCTACTCCTTAACATACCTCACTTACAATAGGTTGCAATTTTGAGTAAAAAATTTCAACATTAGATGAAGTGGGACATTTCGATCCACATTTCGAAATTTTCAAAACTGTTCACATATCTTATATAAAGTGAAAGAAGTAGACGATATAGTTCAAATCCGGCACGCTGTAATGTTCGTACCAGGATTAGGCCAGATACGAAGTTCCAGAATCCCCATATATGGTCAACATATATTTGAATAAATGAATTGATTGTATACATCTGTCGGCAAAACCGACCAAAACTTGTTTCTTGTTCTTATATAGAATATGCTCATATGAGTGGCCTCTTCTGCCGATAACCAAGGAAAGCGGAAAATCATTTTATGATCGCCATGGTTATTCAAAACTTTGACACTTTGTTTGAGGGTTAGATCTATGTGAGGAGTGGTGAGATCTATCTAATCTACAGACAAGATCTATAATTGATAGAAATATGGAATCCGCCAGATTTGAAGACAATAGAATTCTTCTAATCGTGATTGTGATTATTCCAAATGTTAACAATTTGTGGAGAAGGTACTAAAATGGGTGGACCGATATTTTCCATGATGCAAATATGACCTAGCGTTGATGCAAATGTAATGATCTGCAAAGTTTCCACCAAATCGGATGATTCTTTCTCTTTGTATGAGGTATATTATTTTTTGTGTTAAAATGTTGACCTTTTGTTCGGAAGGTAACAGAAGGAGGGGATCGATATTGCCCATTATCGAACTCGATCTTAGTTTGATAATAGTATTACGATGTACCAAGTTTGGACGAAATCGGATACTTCCTTCGAGAGTTATGGAGCGAACCAGCCAGCCAGACAGACGGACAGAGCGACACCGCTAGATTGACTTTAAATGTTCTAAAACATATTTCATTCAAAGAGACCTAGTGTCTGAAACCGTTATTTCAATAATGCCCTTTTTGACCCTCTGTAGCCATATGGTTGAGGGTATACAAACAGGATAACCTTTAATATTTACCTACAACACAACTCACACCGACCTACAAAATATGCTCTGAATACAATCTTTTATTTTACTAGAATATTCGAAATAACACTTGAATTCTTTCCATATCTCGTTTTTAATTCACACCATCCATGTCATTGTGTAGCATTCGAATCGTTAGAATAATGGAAATCTTTGTTTGAAAAATGAATTGATTTTTTTGAATTTTACTTAGATTAGTAATTTGATAATAGTTTAGACCCAACGTAGGTATTCAACGTGTATGTATAAAGAGAAGTTTCGGAAAACTTAAATAATCATCAAACCAATTGGATTTTAAAATACCTAATGTTGGGAAAATTACATAACATGTTAGAGTAATTTGAGAAGTGGAATTATTCACATTTATCTCTGGCATTTCTGTAGAAAAATCTTAGACACTACCCAGAATTTTTAAAATAAAATGAGGCACTTCGTAGTGTAGTATACATTGTTATATATTTATGGTCCATATATATTTTAAATATATTTAGAATTGTATAATATATAGTGTGTATTGGGTATTTCTTTTAAGTTAAAAATAATTTTTTTCACCGCTTAAATAAGGTTTTCACTGCTGAATATAAAATGCGAATAAGTTACTTTACATATGACTCTGGCACGATGTGTAGTCAGTTGAACAAAAAATTAAAAAATCAAGATGCATACTACCGATATATGGGTTCCATGCCAAAACCTGTACTTTTTTTTGGTAATGTGTTCCACCTATATACATTTCAGTTAAGGCCGGATTATACATTATGTTAGAGTTATATGTTAAGCGTATATCCTCCATATAACTGTACCACCCGATATTCGGTGTTTTGATGATGTTAGTCACATTTTTAAACGGAATTGTCTGAAAATCCATACAAGGAGTTCCTTATGGGTACTTTATACCTCGGAGGAGAATTATTTATAGCGGTCCACGATATCGTATATCCCCCATATAACGGTACCCCCGACATTCGGTATTTTGATAACTTTACCCACATTTTTCAACGGAATTGTCTGAAAATCCACACAAGGAGTTCCATGTGGGTACTTTATACCTCAGCACAGAATTATTTATATAGGTTCACGATATCGCATAGCCCCCATATAACGGTACTCTCGATATTCGGTATTTTGATGATTTTAGCCACATTTTTCAACGGAAATTGTACAGAAGGGGTTTTTTGTGAGCACTTTACCCCCGATAGAGAATTCTTTATATAGGTTAATGATATCGTATAGCACCCATATAACGGTACTCCCGATATTCGGTATTTTGATGATTTTAGCCACATTTTCAAATCGTATTGTCTGAAAATCCACACAAGGAGTTCTCTGTGAGCACTTTACCCCCTGAAAGGGAATTGTCTATATAGGTCCGCAATATCGTATATCCCCCATATAACGGTACCCCCCGATATTCAGCAGTTTGAAAAAAATTTAATGGATTTTATTTTTTTTTGAAAATTTTCTAATTCGTTTCAAATGGTGGAGGGTATTCAAAGTTCGGCCCGGCCGAAAAAAAGCTCTGAGGAACATCTGACAGTATGCTATAAAAATGAAAAATGTAATTGTGGAAAAAGAAACCTTATATGTGACTTCATGTGGCTTCGTGCCTTTACTTCAGATCGAAAATGTGGGTAATATCACACAGAAATGTTCTAATATAACACGGAACCTGAGTTTGGTCCCATATATGGGGCGAATGAATAATGAAAATTAGATGGAATTCCCTAACGTCGAATTAGAGTCAACTACTGTACATAAGACGGAAAAGCCATACAGCGGGACGCTCAAATGTTGGCAGAATTATTGAGACATTTTTTAAACCCTCTAGCATTGTTTAACTCCTTGACATGAACCTATTGACCAGGGCACTTTATTGACATGGGGTCAATAGATCAATGACCTATTGACATGGTGTCATTGACCAGTACATAAGGAGTCAATGACCCCTTAACACGGGGTCAATGACCCTTTGATATGGGGCTAATGACCCCTTGACATGGGTTCAATTACCACTTGACATGGACCTATTGACAAGGGCTCAATAGGACCATTGAGTCCTTGTCATGGGGTCAATGACCTATTGACATGGGGTTAAGGACCTATTGACATAGGGTCAATGACCCCTTTACTTGGGATCAATTGGTCTTTAATATATTGATATGGGATCAATGACCCCTTGACTTGGTGTCAATGACCTCTTGACATGTGGTCAATGATCTATTGACAAGGGGTAAATGACCCCTTGACATCAGGTCAATGACCCATTGAACATTACAGACCGGAATAGTTAAAAACTTCGTATTTAAAGCTCTTTATGTGTAGTCCAGCCTATTACAAAAAGTTGCTTATACAGATCCACGTCTTCGTATAGCATTCCCGTATAACGATACCCCACGATATTCAGTATTTTGATGATTTTA